TGATTCTTCTATTTATTCTCCTCTTCCTGCTTCTCCTCCTCCTCCTCCTCCTCTTCATCCTCCTCCTCTCCTCCTCCTCCTCCTTCCTCCTTCTCATCCTTCTCCTTTGTCTTTTTCAAGATAAAATTTTAAGCAGGAGTCTGTATTATGAAGTTTTTAGCCAGTTCAATCTGGATTTTATATTGGTTAGTTAATTTTAAAAGTCAATTAAAGCAACGAGTCATTAAACCTCCTTACATACATAACCTTAATACTTTTTTTCAGAATATGCTATATTGACTTACTCCATGTAAAGATATATTCCTTAGCTAATCTTTACATGTAGGGCCAGGATATTTCCTTTGACTACGGATCAACTGATTGAGTTCTGTGTAACCATTTCTATAAAAATCGCCCCTCCTCAAACTGTATCATTCATGATGTATCAGCATTGGCTTCCAGTTTCAGTTCTTTTAAGGAGAGCAAGAACTTAAAGACAATCACAAAGCAAGCTACATGTTTAATTCTTCTTAGGTAATTTTCAATTTTGTCCGCAATCTTTCACATTTAATTCAATACAACATTTTTAGTGACCTGCCTTTTTTGAGTCTTTTCAAAGCACGCAAGTTAATTTTTACAGAAACTACTTTCTTTTGTCTTCATATTGCATTGGTTCATGTAATTTTACTTAAACTTAAGTTAGGCAATTTAGATTATAAATCATTCTCCTATAAAGACACATGCACACATACATTTACTGCAGCACTGTTCACAATAGCGACAACTTGGAACCAACCCAAATGCCCATCAATGATAGACTGGATAAAGAAAATGTGGCACACATATGCTATGGAATACTATGCAGCCATGAAAAAGAATATGTTAATGTCCTTTGTAGGGACATGGATGAAGCTGGAAACCATCATTCTCAGCAAACTAACATAGAAACAGAAAAACAAACACTGCATGTTCTCACTCATAAGTGGGAGTTGAACAATGAGAACACATGGACACAGGGAGGGGAACATCACACTTCAGGGCCTGTCAGGGGGTGGGGGCCTAGGGGAGGGATAGCATTAGGAGAAATACTTAATGTAGATGAATGATCGATGGGTGCAGCAAACCACCATGGTGCTTGTATACCTATATAACAAATCTGCATGTTCTGCAGAGGTATCTCAGAACTTAAAGTGTAATAATAAAACAATTAAATAAAATTTTAAAAATAAAATTATGATAAACAAGTGCAAGTAACACAAACAGGTTCTGGGGAAAACACAATTGCCACTTCATAGGGTAAGACAGGATCGGTGGCATAGTACCATAATGATGTGGGCATATTAGAGCATAGCCAACTGGCTGGCACAGTGGTTCATGTCTGTAATCCCAGCAATTTGGGAGACTGAAGTGGGATCATTGCTTGAAGCAAGGGTTCAAAACCAGCCTGGGCAACATGGAGAGACCCCATAGCTACCCAAAATAATTTTACAAGAAATAGCCAGGCACGGTCCCAGCTACTTGGGAGGCTGAGGCGAGAGGATTGCCTGAGCCCAGGAAGTCAGGACCGCAGTGAGCTGTAATCATGCCACTGCACTCTAGCCTGGGCAACATAGCAAGACCCTGTCTCAGAAGAGAGAGAGAGAGAGAGAAAGAGAGAGAGAGAGACTAGCCAACTAGTTACAGTTATTCACTGGGGCATTACCACTGGTCAGAAAGTTTTACACAGGGAATGGATAGTGTATTTAATCTAGAGCATTTATATAAAGATGAATTAAGGGGAAAGTTAGTGCATATTAAAAAGATAGAAGCAGAGCTGTTGTGTTTAAAGCTGAGGCAAGGGACCTTTCAGTCTACTCCTCACTTTAACTTGGGCATATATAGAAATATGGTCTCTAATAGGATGCAAGAATTTATACTAGTGACTGTCTACAGTTTGTTCATGCCCTGAAGAAGATCTCCTTGTCTCCCTAGTCCCTTCTAAACTACTCAAGATTCCTGTTGTAGGACAAATACATGCAGTTTCTTAACACACTCACCAAGCTGATGAGAGACAAGCAATAATAAAGATACACAAAAAAGGAAGTAAAGAGATGGAATGTTGCCATGCCAACAAAATAAGATTGCAGTTCCCAGGACCTATCACAAGGCCAGAAGAGGCCCGAGCAAGTTGCGTTCAGTTCAGCCTAAGATCTTGGTGAGATGACACAAAATCTTTTTCCATAGTGTCTGTATTGCAAATATAACTACCAAAGAAAAGGCCCTGCCTCTATGCTGCTGATTTTGCCATTTTGGAGGGAAGGAAGCGTTTCTGAAAATGTGGCTTGAAGAAGACAGAGACTCTCCATCCTGGACCCTTTCACAGAGTAAGGGCTAAAACTACTTACAAAATGAATAAAAATTTGCCCCTAAGTCCAAGATCTTGGGCAGAATTATGCCTGAGTCTGGAATTTTAGATAAATCAATCACCTGATCCCAAAATATCTGGATCTTCAGTAGATCTGATTGCATATTCCATGGCCAGAACAAATTCATTTGTAGATTGAGTCAATAGTGAGATGCTTCAAAAATATTTTTAAAATGTGACACACTTATGTGATTGTGTATGAAGAAATGAGGAAACTCAATGCCTTTGTTACATACATAGCTGTTCATAATGCTCCCAATACCATATAAGGAAGATAGCTCTTGTCCCAGGGACCTTACAGTCTAATATAGTCTTGTATAGACCATTTAGCAACGAAAGGAAAAAACACACATTGAAAAATGAATGGTGCTTTTGCATTTTAATTGAGAACAGAATGGAATGCCTACTGGAAATTAAGGTAAAGGAGTTTTTGAAAGGTAAATTCATAGACATAGTATCCAACAGAGCTGGCTTTAATTGTTAATTATATAATTCTCAATCCAATTCTTAGCTATATGACCTTGAGTGAGTCATTTCACTTATTTGGTCCTCAATTTCTACATGTGAAAAGTGAGGTTAATAATAATTATATCAATGATTTGCTTTATAGACTAAGTAAAATATTGGGTATAAAGTACCTGGCACATCTTATATTCTTATTAAATGTGAATTTCCCTCTCTTTCTTCCTTCCTTATTCTTCACATGTTTAGAGGCTGAAGGTCCAAAAGAACATTACCTATATTGCAAGTCATCTGGACGTGTACCTCAAGAGGGACAGGGATTTAAAACTCTGTCCAAAAGAAGGAAAGAAAATAACTTGAAAATAAATACAGATGTGGAAAAAACTAAAAGAGTAGGAGGAATGAAATGAAAATTTCAGTTCAAAGTAATATACTTATGTATTAAACATTTTTTAAAACAAGAAATTTCTTAAGCATCTTCTTGTGCAGTTCTTACCCAGACTGGCCTTGAACTTTATAAAGAAGCATTTTCAATAAAATTAATTGCCTGCATTTTTATTAAACAATAGATAATGTGGCTTAACAAAAGAATTCTTACCATGTAGAAAATGGATATAGCCTGGCCTTGGTCCAGAACATAGTTGGAAGAATGTCACATATATAAATATAATGTCTCCATTGAAGAGAATGATAGCAGTTAAATGTGAAGAAGAAGCAGGAAAGTCTTTGGATTTCACTACAACTGAGAAGATCCCCAATAAAGTGACAATGATGAATGTGTGGGAGACAAGGATGACCAGTCAAGAGCGCATCTAGATGAAGCACCCAATGAAAAAGAAGAAAGAATTCATTATGTAGGTGTCTGAGCAGGAGAGGACCAAGAGTGAGAAATTGTCATCAAAAACGCTGCGCTGATGTCAACTTATACAAACCAAATATAAAGACTGAACCTCCTAAAAACATAGTATGAATAACTCCTATGCTTGTAACATGGAGTCACTAGTCGGATACAAAAAACGTGGGACACAGTGACAGGATAGAGCATGGGTTGTCTTGATTGGCATATAAATGTCCTTGCCCAGGGAGGATAGAAGTTTGCATTCAGTAGTCACAAAGAACAAAAATACTAGCATTCGTATCACCCAATAGGAGAAGGGAATTGTTTCTGCCAAAAATTTCAGCAGTGCCTTGGAGACTGTGAGTGGGAACAAGCAGAAATCTCTGAAGATAATTTTTCAACCCTCACTCCCTCGACACCCTCCCCCATTTTGGACTCACCAGTGTCTATCATTTCCATTTTATGTCTATGTGAACCCACTGTTTAGCTCCTTGAATCCATAATAGAAAATATATTTTGATACATAATAATATAATTACAGAAAACTAAAAAATAAATCTATAAAGGATAAACTTTAGAGGAAGAAGTACATGGTGGTATGGAAATGGGACTAATGCTGCTAAAGATCAGGAAGCCAGTTTCTTACAAATAGGACTGCATAACTATTCTTAAGAGCAAAGTGATGGAATCAACCCAAATGCCCATCAATGATAGACTGGATAAAGAAAATGTGGTACATAAACACCATGGAATACTATGCAGCCATAAAAAGGAATGGTGTCATGTCCTTTGCAGGGACATGGATGGAGCTGGAAGCCATTGTCCTCAGCAAACTAACACAGGAATAGAAAACCAAACACCATATGTTCTCACTTATAAGTGGGAGCTAAACAATGAGAACACATGGACACAGGGAGGGGAACAATGTACACTGGGGTCTGGGCAGAGGTGGGAGAGGAAGATCATCAGGATAAATAGCTAACGTATGTGGGGCTTAATACCTAGGCAATGGATTAATAGGGATAGCAAACCACCAAGGCACACATTTTCCTATGTAACAAACCTGCATGTCCTGCACATGTATCCCAGAACTTAAAATAAATGTTTTTTGTTTTTTAAATGTTGCCATGCTAATCTTCTCTGTATCATTCCAATTTTAGTATACGTGCTGCCGAAGCAAGCACGATAAATGTTTTTTAAAAAAGAAAAAAAAAGTCACCTTAGTGCACAGTTATACAGGAGGGGTAATTACTAAAATTTTGGCAATAAATGATTGTAGAAGACAACTCATAAGAGAGTATATCTAAAGAACGCAGAATACTTACCTGGCAGGGGAGATACCATGATCACGAAGGTGGTAAGGTGGTTTTCCCAGGGCGAGGCTTATCCATTGCACTCCTGACCCCTGCAGTTTCCCCAAATGTGGGAAACCCGACTGCATAATTTGTGGTAGTGGGGGACTGCGTTCGCGCTTTCCCCTATTAAAAAAAAAAACAAAAAAACAAAACAAAAAAAAAAAACGCAGAAATGTTCTGCATTTTTGATGTTTCTAGACATGAAAAATAGTTACTCTTTTTTCTTTTTGAGACAGGGTCTCACTCTGTCATCCAGGCTGAAGTACAGTGGAAATATAGCTCACTGCAGCCTTGACTTCCTAGGCTCAAGTGATACTTTCTCCTCAGCCACCTGAGTAGCTGAGACTACAGGTGCGCACCACCATGCCCAGCTATATTTTAGATTTTTGATAGAGATGCAGTTGCACCATGTTGTCCAAATTTGTCTCGCACTATTGAGGTCAAGGGATTCTCCCACAGAGAAAGAACTGCATATGCCAAGACAAGCGCCCAAAGGGGATCACTTGAATTTGGGGATCGTATGTAATTCCTGATGAAACAAATTTTGTCATCAATTTTTATAAGCAAAATGTGATTCTTTAGTGCATCCCTGACCACAACTGCTGCATCTTATTAGCTCAACAGAAGAATATTTTATTGGTAAAAATAACAACAGTTAGAATTTCTGTACACACACAGTAGTCAATAGAGATATGGAGATATTACCTTGGAATATGGAGTGTTGTCAAATACAAGAATGCAGATCTTTATTTTTAGAAGCCTGGAGCACAGACCTTCCTTTAGCTCTCATCCAGGAAAACAGTGATTAACCTGCTATGTGATGTCAGCCAGATCATTTCATTGTCCCAAGACATTAACTCCATAGCCTCTCACTATTCCTACATAAAACATAGCCTGATATTTTGTATGCAGCAGATGCTTTGAGACATTTTCATAATCTTTAGTTATGTAATCCAACATTGAAGAAAATAACCTCAAAAAAACCCAAAAGGAGGAAACAGTGTTAAGAACAAATGCCTTAATTATGAAGGTCACTATATTTTCTAATTCACTTGTATTTTGTATATTTCAGTATGTAGTTACAAGTGGTTGGCTTCTGAATTTCATTATCTTATTCCATGACCTAGGACCTTGCCTATGCCATGCAATATTTTGTAAACTGGTAACACAGGTATGAAATATATAATTCCTGCCCTGAAGGAGCCCACAGGTTAGAGGTGAAGTAGTCTCAATACAGGGTGAGAAATACATGTAGGGAACTGAGTACTAAGTCCAGATATACACCGACTACATCTACAGTTCCTGGATGGGGCTCAGGACTCAGTGACTTAAGACGCCTCAAGATCGCAAACTGACATTCTCAGTGCTTTGGAAGGTACCATTCTGAGACAAAGGATGATATCTGCTAATTCAACAATACCATAGAATTGAAATTCCCAATGCCTTCTAAGATTTTGTCTCACAGTGCTTTCCTACACAGTATCTGACTTACTTAGGCTGACATCTTACACTTTCCAAAAATGCATATTTGCTTAAGATTAGGCAGTTCTAATGAGAACACATGGACACAGGGAGGGGAGCACTTCACACTGGGGTCCGTTGGGGGGAAATGGGGGAGGGGCGGGGGGGTGGGGAGGTGGGAAGAGATAGCATGGGGAGAAATGACAGATACAGGTGAGGGGACGGAAGGCAGCAAACCACACTGCCAAGTGTGTACCTATGCAACAATCTTGCATGTTCATCACATGTACCCCAAAACCTAAAATGCAATAATAAAAAAAAAAGATTAGGCAGTTCTTGCACACCCAAAGAAAGTGTCCCTCAAGCATGCAGCACTCACTTGAGTGCGTTTTGAGTAATAGGGACAGTGATAGGAACAGAAAGCAATGCAGCCGAACCAATAATTCAGGACAGAGAAATTGCTTACATTCCTGGAAGGGAGCACAAAACTTTAAGAAAAAATATGTATATGTACACTTTACATTTCATAGTCATCAAAGAAGTCTTTGCTAATACTATCAAGGCAGGTCAATTAATTTAAACCTGCCTTTGAAAATGGTATTTTATGGTGTTATTTTAAATGAGGGAGATAAAAATGCTTGATTTGAAACCTCACAGGTCAATTAGAGAAAGCTCACCTTAGACTCCGGTATCTACAAGAGAAGTTCTCAACCATGGTTTCTCATTTGAATGTCATATGTTGATAGTGGAAACTCATGAAAAATTCACTTAGCCAGAATCTCTGCATGTAGGCCCTTATTACATTTTTTGTTTGTTTGAGAGGTAATTAACTTTATTGAAGTATAATTATCAGCTAAAAATGCACCCAACTGAAGTGAAAGTTCAAGGAGTAGGGACAAATATATACATCTATGTAACTACCACCCACAATTAAATACAGAATGTTCTCTTCTGTCCCATTTAAGTCAATTCATCCCGTTTTGGTCCTAGACAGCCACTAATTTGCTGTCTGCCAGTATAGATTAGTTTGCCTCAAATTTCATATCAGCAAATTAATTCATATACTACCTAGAACGTTTCATCTTTTAAAGTATAGACAATGATTCTGATGGAGTCAATGTTGGAGCCACTGATATAGAGGCTCCCATAAAGGACAGAATCAAAGATGACTGTCACAAGCTGAATATAAGTCAAATGGTTTAGATTCTAGAGCACGTGTTTAAATCGTGCTCACAAAATTCCTATAGTTCAAAACTGAGGACCATGAAAATTTTTTGGATGAAGATTGAGATTTATATTAAAGTACAGTTTGGAATCCTGTTACATGTCTATTGCTATATGGCTAAGTGAAACACTTGTCTCTCAGATCCACTGTCAAATCCAAAACTCTTCTCTTTTAAATTTTGCCTCAAAGTGAAATTAACCAGATACCAAAGCACATTATTAGCAGTGTGAGTCTACAGTGTGAAAGAGGAATGAGATCTGGGGTTAAGGAAGCATTTTAATAGGCTTAGTCACGAATACCATAATAAGACTTATTGGCATGAGCTGAATCAGTAAGTACACAAGGCCAAAGACCCCTTGTTATGGAGCAATGCTCTGGACTTTGCCGCTGTTTCCATGACTGCCTTCGCCCTTGTTCTCAAGATTCTCCATTTGTGAAATAAGGAACTTAAAACATATGCTTTCAAAGGTGGCCTCTGACTTCAACATTCTCGGGTTCTATTTTGGTAAATTTGTTGACGAAAATATTGCTTAACACCAATGCTTAATATTAGTCTGCAACATTTGTAAGAGTAAGCTGAACAAAAATCTCATAGGAAGAGTTTGCATATTAAGGTTATTCCAGGATGACCACAGCATTTGAGTCAGAAATAAGACCTTAAAATGGGCTCTTTCTCATAGAGTTAAATATGTTTAAACATTGTGTAGTGTATTATTTTTAATATTCTTTTGGGAGTCAGGCAGAAAGCTAAACAAGCCTCTTGTTCTCTGTTTGGAAGAAGAACCCAGTGACATCATGTCCATATCTTCAGGCAGTTACCTTGGCTTTACATCTTTTCCTTCTTACCATGAAAAAAATAAGGAAAGGTCTACAGAAATAATGTTAGTTCAACGTTTTGACTATGTATGGGCAAGAGTATTTTTTTCTCTTCTTCATAGTGAAGCATAGTGAAACACTTACATAATAAATGCTTTATACCTAAATCCAGATTAATTTAATATAGATCTTCTTAAAGCATTCACTGATTCACTGGGTCATAAAATTCACTTGTAAAAAAAAGTCCATGTAACCCAAAAAAGTATGCATATATTAGGCAACCATCTCAGAGACAGGTGTTCAGAATAAAAGAAGGGTCTGATCTAGAGAATCTGGCAAGCTTTAGAAGAAAAAAGTCCTGTGTATGCTTAAGTCACAATGCAAGAAATACATTTCAATGACAGTGGTATTACAACATTTAACTTTATTCATACTGATGAGGATATCTCACAACTCTGTCAAAATAAAAAAAAATTGTGGAATACATCTCAAAAATGCATTGTGGAAAAACAGTAAAATACGGTGTTCTACTGAAAACTGATGGAAATATGGTAAATATGTATAAATCTGACTTGTTAAGATGTTAAATACCTGAAATGCAGGGCATTCAGAAACACTTGTTGTGAAATAAGACTTCCAAAGTAAAAGGACATCAAAAATATCACAGAAGGTTAATTATAAACATGGACCCCCTCCCCCGACATGTATGGAATGTGAACCAAAAGATTAAAGGCCGCTTCCACTCATATAAGAAAAAAGAACAAGTCAAGCATTTAAGATTAAAGAACACCCCAACTCTATCTTGACACGGCTGAAAAATAAATGTATCTATGAAGGAAAAATAAGGCCCCTAAGGAAGAGGAATTGGAAGAAGGGGCCAAGGCAAGAGGATGCAAGTGCGTGGCACTGGTCCCAGGGAAAGTTAGGACTCTGGGCAGGTGGTCTGAGGATTGTCCATTTGCAGCTTCATGCCCAGTTCCCTCTGACATCTCTCCCTGCCTACTTAGGCTCCTGCCCTCTCCCTAGTGAAACCCTGCTCTTGGGAGGAAACCTCTAGATCATCCTCACCATGTGCAACGACTCACCCAGCGCCATGGGACTCCTGGGAGTAGCTGGGACAAGTAGAGAAGGAAAAGAGGATGGGGTGCTTCTTAATGGCGACTACACCAGTAAGTTCAGATAAAGTAGTTTGGTGACCCTGGAAGAAGTTGCTGCAGGATGACTCCCCTCTCTTCCTAGATCTGAGTGGGCCTGTGCCTGGTGATGGTCTATCTCTGAAAAAAAAATGTGCTGTTGCGAACAAGCGCCAATTTTCTTGCTACGCTCACAAGAGCTAAGTGACACAGTGGACAAAGCAATGATGCTGTTCCTGGCTCAATCTCTCTTTGACAATGATAATTTGCCACATCAGCTTACCTTCCCAGACACGAAGCATCAGAGGATTAGCTATTAAAAGAAAGACATTTTCTCGCTCATTACAGCCTGCAATGTAAAACGCCCAGAAATACAAAGAGTCCTGTTTTCACCATTAAAGTAGAAATTATTTCCAGCAGCTTTGGGAGAAAATGCAATTATTTTCTTTCCTGTACAGTGTTTCCACACTCACCTAGAGATGGGAGCACCC